CTTTGGTGGAACTTTCTACATCAACTTCTTTGGTGGAACTTTCATATTGGTCTTTATAGTTTTTACTTATACTTTTTATTTTTACATTAGTATGATAAATAATTTCTTCTATCATTTTTGGGGTTATAAATAAATCAAAACATTTTTCTGGAGTATCAGCTTTTTCTCCATATTTTTTGACTCCTGGAAGATAAATAATTAAATTTTGTTGTCTTTTTCTTATTCTTTGATTTGGAATATCCTTTTTCCATTTAGTAAACTTATCTTTAGCTAATTTAGAGAAATATACTATGTTATTACATATTTACCTAAATAATATTGTCTATTGTCTGCTTCAAACATATCATCTTCTTCATCTAATTCAGATTGTGTGTCTTGATCACTCACATACATAAAATTTTCATCATCACTAATCACATTATCATAATCACCTAAAATAAAATATTACATCTAAATAATTTTTTATTTTACTTTCAGAATCTGCAAAAATCATTGTAATATTTTAAAATAATTTGAAAAATGAGTCAATCAGCTGTTGAAAAAATAAAAAAATAACTCCACCAGAAAAAATGTTTATGTTTTCTTTTTCATATATCTCTATCAAAATAAAAGATATTCAAATTTTGTTTAGATAAATTTTATATTTTAGTAGTATATATTTATAATTATAAAATTTTAAAAAAAATTTCTTAAAAAGTTACGAATTTACTCTGGTGGGGTCTCACACACCCCAATCAGTCACAAAATGCTTATATCTTAAAAACTACTCAACCGAAATATATGAAACTGGAATATAGATTCTAAGATATATTTGATGAAGCTACTGAAAAATCCAGATAATAATATTTAACTGTTTTTATGCAATATCATTTCTAGCATGCCTGGGGTTTCATATACCCCACTGGAGTATTGAAGGGTTAATATATGTTCAGAGACAAAGATATTGTGACAGAATCTATAAATAAATATCATTTTTTTATAATAGCATTTAAGCAAGAACATTACCAATATCACTAATATTTTAAATATATACAAATCAAGTATAAAAATGAAATAATATTAACCCTTCAATGTGGGGTATATTAAACCCCAGGCATACTAGAAATGATATTACATAAAAACGGTTAAATATTATGATCTGGTTTCTTCAGTAGCTTCAGAATCTATATTCCAAATTTAATATATTTCGGTTGAGTATTTTTTAAGATATAAGCATTTTGTGACTGATTGGGGTTTGTGAGACCCCACCAGAATAAATTTGTAATTTTTTTTAAAAATTTTTAAAATTATAAATATATACTACTATATTATAAAATTTATTAAAACAAAATTTAAATATCTTTTATTTTGATTGAGATATATGAAAAAGAAAACTTAAACTTTTTTGGTGGAGTTATTTTATTCTTATTTTCACCATCTGGCTCATTTCTCCGATTATTTTTATCATATACTAGACAATAAACTTAAATATTATTCATGTAAATATGGAATATATCATATCAATTTCTCTGTAAAATTAGCTAAAAATAAGGTGACTCAATTATGGAAATCTGATGGGTTTGGAATTAAGATATTTTGAGCAACAATGACACTCAAAAGATTCAGAATTTTAATTCATACAATAAGATTTGATGACATATTAGCAAGAGAAGAGAGAAGATGGTAGATAAAGCAACTCACATTAGAAATATTTTTCAAGAATTTTTGATAACTGTGCTACAGATTTTATAAAATATCAGAATATGCAACCCTAGATGAAATGCTTCCAGCATTTCATGGTAAATGCCCATTCAGGCAATATATGCCAAATAAACCATCAAAATATGGCATAAAACTATACTCCTTCTCCTTATAAAAAAACAAAATATTTTTTGTCAAATATGTAAAATAGATTTATGTTTAATTAATATTTTATGTAATAAATGTTTTGCATGTCAAATTTAGCATATTTTAATGTTTTATATTTTTTTATATTTGAATGTATTAGTGTAATTTTTTTTTATATTGAATAATAAAGATCCTTATTATGAATTATCATTATGACGGATAAGTTATTTTTTTAATTTTATATTTTAAATTTAAAAAAAGTAAGCTTTTTTAAAAAATTTTGGCACAAATTATAATTATCCTCATCATCTTTAATTTAGACTTAAGAAATAAAAATCTTTAAATATTTTATCAAGCTTAAGGTTAGATCTATCTTATATCCAAATATCAAATGAAAATAATGTATATTACTAGAGATATATACATTTGAAATTGGGGTCTATTTAACACCACCCGAGTACTAACGTCATTTTTTTCTCGGGAGTATTGAAGGGTTAAATAATTTAGCATATGAAATATTTAAATTAATTAATGGATCTATTGGAACAGATAAATGATCATCCACTATCAAATTTAAAACCAAAAAAGAATAAAATCAAAAACATTTGAATTATGGATTATTGAAAGCCAAATTAAAACAATATCAAGTTTTGTTAAAGTTGAAAGGAATGATAATTTTTAGTTTAATATACCAAGTTGTTTATGTATTGTCAGTAGTGATGCAAAATCGCACTATTTGAGCCGAGTTGACACAATCAATTCAAAGGCCTAATCACCAAAAAATTAAACACTCAATATAACCAGTCCACTTAAAATTTTAAATTCAAATGAAGCCTTAGTCCCAATAAATAATAACATATTACATTTACTCCAATTAAAATATCTCCCAGGTTCATATATAATACCGTTAGTCAACACACGTTATACCACTTCATCAGATTTCACAGATACAAAAGTATCATTTGCCATCGATTCGTTTAATAAAGATTCAGCAGGAGGACCTGATGGCCTTCGACCAATTTACTTGCAAAACCTCCTAATACCCACGATCTCATCAAGCAAATGCTTATTAACAAATTTGACCAGCCTTTTAAGCAAAATTCTTAAAGGTGAAATTAACTTCAAAGTTAGCCTTATCTTATTTGTGACACGACTAATAGCTCTAAACTAAAAGATGGTAGTATACGTTCAATTGCTGTTGGTTCAGTCATCCAGCAAATAACTGAAAAAATAACAAGTAACCAAATTTTAAAGCCAATTCTGGTGCTTTATTACAACCCCATAAATTAGGTTAAGTGCAAAGAATGGTTGTGCTACAACTACTCCACTTGTATTATACTCGAAAATGAAATGACAACCTTTACATTATAAAAATTGATATTAATAACACCTTTACCAGTATCTATAAATCTGTTTATACAAGCTTTCATTCAAGTTTATTCCCAATTCATTTTAAACTGCTATTCCACTCCATCCGCCCTCAAAGTTGACCAAAATATTATCCAATCACAACAGGGCATACAAGGTGATTTCTTGGGCCTGCCTTATTTTGCTCAGGGATCCAAAAAATGGATATACACAATGTAAACTGGACCCAAACATCTAGTACTAGATGAGGGCACTGTTCATTATTCAAAATAATGAAGGTGCTTATTATAATAAAAAAAATTAGAACCAATTACAGGCCTATCACTTATTACCAGCAAATGCGAACTTTGCTCTTCATCCATATCATCCCATGGAGAATTTCCTTTCATGCTTATTAACAGATTCCAACTCATACAATTATTGGCCCCCATTGGAGGAATTGAAGTAGTTAGATCTTTAAACAATTTTATATCAACAATACAAGACCTACAGCCCTTACTCCTATTGTTCCTACATCAGCATTCATTTTTCCTAGTGAAAAATTTCCTTTATTTATCTAAAATTCTTTATGCACTCAGATATATTGAGTCTTCATACATCTTGATCACTTATTCTCTCTTAGTAGCAGTATGGAGGATTTAGAAATAAACATCAAATTATCCCCCTTATCATGGATGCGATCATCCCTTCCTTTCTAAACCATGGGTATTGTCCGATCCCCAATTTCTTTATGACTAGCAGCCTTCATTTAATCACGCCTCCCTTCCGATGAGTTAATAAATTAATTAACACTTTTACCATACCTAAATCTCCTGACAAATATATTACCCAACACACTTTATCCAAAAAAGATTGGAACTCAATTAATTGTACTTTCCGTCGATTTTCTCCTTTTGACCCTGCAATAAAAGGAACTTAACCATTTTATTTTTATCAACGAGGTCATCCCCTTTCAAAACAGACCTTCTCCCGAAAAACTCAGGATATCATTATGGTGTCGTCTTTCATAACTGCAATATCGTTACACCACACTCACTTTGCAACACTCCGGTTGACAATAAGGAGCACCAATTCTCATACTGCAAATTTTCTAAGGGCAGATACTCCACCGGACAATTAACAACCTTATCCACAAGGCGTTACTATCAGCCAACATTTTTTTCACCTTAGAACCATTCGGACTTCAACGAAGAAGCGATTCTATTTTTTAAAACTTTAGATAAAAAGCTAGCAATGTTTTTAATATTTAAGTTTATATAATTTTTAAAAAAAATTTCTTACTATAATATAAGTTTTTAATAAATATTTTTTTAAACGTTTTAAATATTTGAAATTGAAATAAAAAAAATTTCTCTTTGCGCGCTCACTGGAAAAATGTAAATAATCAAAATTTTTATTTTCCTACTCTTTATACTCTAAACCATAAAATATAAAAAAATTTATAAATCATTATTAATAAATTTTTCGATATTTTATCGTAATACTAATATTAAACATAATCATTTGTGCAAATAAAATCTTCCATACAAAAAATGGCGATTTTTGAAAAATAAAAATTCCAAACATGCATAAATATGTCATTATTAATCATTTATGATATGATTCACATTTATATAAATGTATAGTGTTTTCTATATCATATCCTTTTCGAATTATCGCATAAAATATTTTACCGACAAATTTATTAAGTATTTGATGGTATGAGTTTAAATGCGATTTGCACAATAAATGGTTAAAAAGAATTTATGCATAAATATTATTTTAATATAAAACCTATTTAAAACAAATTTTTATTTAAAAAAAAGCCGACTATAGTAACCGATACTGATGAGGCGGAATTGCAAAAACAACTTGAAAAGCTTGAACAGGCTAATGCCGAAGTGGATGGAGATGAGGATGATGAAAATGTAGGAGAGGATGGAGACGAGGAGACGGACGACATTCTGACGGAAGAAATTGTGGTTGGACAAAATGGTATTTTGAGCCCAGATTGAAGAATATATTGCAGTGTTGAATTGATAGAGGAATAATATTTATAAAAAAGATATGGAAGGAGATTTTTTTTATCATTTTATATCACCACAAAATAAGGACATTTTAAAAATAAATTATATAATTATTTATGATTTTCATTTTATTGCGGAAATCCAAACTTATAAAGTGAAGAGTGGAAATATGAAATTGGTATTTTTTTTTATATTAAATATTAAAGATGGAAATTTGTATTTAAGAATTAAAAAACAAGATTATAACGATTAATAGCAAACTAAGATATTTAATGTAAGGGAAAATTGATAAGGGGGTCATATTTTAAAGGCATACATTTTATTAAAAGTCTAACTATCTGAGTAAAAATGCGGATCGTATATTAAATGGTAAGAAATAGAAAAATGAGGAAGGGGTGAATCCTGGTGTTGAATTCCTCCAATGTTTTTTCTCTTCTATATAGACATTAATTTGGTGTTAACATAGACGACGCTTTCGTCAGATTTAATGCCCCTCGTGGATTAAAAATTTTATCACTTATAATTCATACCTGCTTAGAATAGGTTTACTTTTTTTATGTCAAATACTTAAACCCTAACAAAGAACAGGAATCCCAACCATAAAGATTATCGATTTGGTTTGAACCATAACCTTTTTGAACCTTTTCACAACATATATATTAATAAAAAACACTTTTTTTAAAAAATTATTCTTATTTTCTTCTATCATATTTTATCTATAAGGGGAAAGAAAATTTTCTATTGTTGAGAATACTTCTATCAGGAATCCAAACCAAATCTGAACCGAACCGTTAAAACGCTAAAAACCGGTATTTTTTATCAAACCTAAACCGAACCTAAACCTCTAAAAAAATTCTAGCCGAACCTGAACCAAAATGCTAAAATGCTTCTAAACCGAGTCTCATTATTTTATGCTTATAAAATAATGTGTAAGTTATTACTAGTAGTATATTGCAAAAATTTTAATTATATTCAAATTGTTTTAAAAATTATTATCAATCACATTTGATTGATAAACGTCAGTCATAATTTTTAAAAACTTTAGTAAATTGCCATTCAACATTTTTTAATATTTTAAGCTTACAAATTATAATGCCTAGAAAAAAATTAAATCTAATATATAAATTATTTACATATAGTATTATAAATGACACATCAAATCTGATATCATATGACAATGCCAGCTACCCAAGTTAGTGTGGAAAGATGTTTTTCAACAATTAAATTTATATTATCTCCTTATGAATGTAATTTGAGTGACGAATTTTGAAAATATATTAATTGTGCGGCTTAATAAAAAAATTTTAAGTAATTGTTCATACTAAAATTAATCATAAATATATTTATTTGTTATATTTATAAATTAAATATTATTTTATAATGTGCAATTAATAAAAATGAAGGTTTTTATTTTAATTATGAAATAAATAAAAAATTTCCTTATACATAATCCTAATGTAGGTTTTACAGAAGTATTCGAACCGACCCGATATTTTTATTTTTTGTGAACCGAACCTGAATCTTGAACCGTTATTTTTATCTGAACCGAACGATATTAGTTTCGGTTTGGATCCCTGATTTCTATGCACAAACTTGGATAGCTAAAACCGGTTCTCAGAACTTTTTACATGTTTGGGTGACAACAATCTTGATGGCTTGTTTCTGTAAATATTACGATTAAAACTGGTTAGTTTGGATCATTGTCAGAGATAACAAAAGGTAATAAATATTTTTAATGTAAATAATAAAAATATGTCATATTTATAGTTACATATAGTTAGTGTCCATAGATAAAAAAAAATGGAGGCAACATGCCCTACATTTAATCCATATTTTTTTACTCCCTGCCCTCTCAGTAACTTAGTCTCTGCTCCCTTTGAAGAAAGAAATATTGATTCAAGTATCGTAAAGGTTTGAGATATATAAGGAAAAGAACACCGAAAATTATTATTGGATTCTAAAAAGTTTAAACATTCATAAACCATTATTTTTATCACATTATATTAAAAAGAATTTTTTAGATAAAGACTAGAAAAATGGCAACATTTAAGATTTTAGTTATAATGCATAAGATAAGGAAAACTATATTCTTATGCAAAGAAAGTAGATTTTAAAAATTGACGTTTCCCTTTTACCAAATTTTTTTACTTAAATGATTTATTTTTAATAATTTAGCTAATATTCCAATATATCTAGGCCTTATTTAAAAAATATACCTTTAGGTTTTATATTTTTGAAAATATTTTTGATTTTGAATATTCAAAAAATATTAGTTTTTTTTTAATTTATAAATTTTTCTCTCCATTTCCGAATCTATAAAATTCTCTTATACATTTAAGGAAAAATAACTATTTAAAGATAAAAATAGGTTGTTTCCTTAAAGTTGCATAGCCCACCCAACTATTTGGAAAGTATAGTTATGATAATTATTAATTAAAAAATAAAGATATTTTACGACAAATACTCTATTTTTATAGAGAATTTTTTTTTAAACAATCTTGTTTAAAGAAATAGGGAGAAGATTTATTCATAAGAGATCGATAAAAGAGAATAGGGAAATTTTTTGTTACCAGAACATACATTATCCTGCTCATATACTTGACTGACTCAAATTATTGCGGATTTAATTTAAAAGAATATGAAGTAGTTGTTAAAGGAGTAGATGTTATTAGCCTATTTTTCTTCTTCTTATGATAAAAGTGTAAGAATCTTCAGAATCCTTTAAAGCTGACCTAAAGGCATCATAAAGTGGAGATAACTTTACAATAGCTTTATATGATGATAGCCAGCTATTATAAATATATAAAATAAAAATTTTAAATCCAAACAAATAAGATAATATTACCGAGTGGTATTCTTGATTTGCGATTGTAAGTACATCTCAGATATCCTTGAGCACTGCATATCTTTTAACACTATTGAAATAATCGTAAATCTCTTATTTGACAAATTTTCCTTTTTTGTATATAGAATAATAAATTTTAAACATTGAGCCAATAATTGGTGATAAAATGATTATTTTTTTCAATCCTATTTAGGGCCATTGCCAGGAATTTCTTGCTGGGGAGGGTGGCAACTTCTTACTTAAGGGGACAAATATTTTTTTGAAATAAAACAAATAGTTAGGCACTCATAGAAATATTGTGCTATTTTTACTAAAAATTTGTAAATGTAAATATGAATACAAAATAATATTCGACAATTTTTATTCTAAAATTTTAACATAAATGAATTAAATGCTAAATTTTGTGTTATTTTTTTCATAAGCCATTAGATACTAAATTTACATCGATCTTTCATCGATTTTCTAGTTCTCAATCAGTGTAGAGAATGAGGATTCACAAGAAGCCGCTGATACCCCAATGATGATGGCCGCTGAGTAGCATTTATACAATTGTTAAATGCAAGATGATATTATTTTTATGCATAATATTTACGATATTTAAAATTATGTGATTTTTTAATCTTCTGCAGCTAATAATTCTTTTGTTAATTCTTTTTGTGATGTAACGTCTCCACATTTGAGTTTGATAATGATTTAAATGGGGTCATTTTATATAATATATAATATCAGTTAAGAAGGGGCAATGTATTAAAACATGATAGAATATTATAATCCTCTTGTGTAAATCTATCTATAAAACGAGTTACAATAATTCGTTTATAAGTAACTCCAATTAGAGTCCATTTCACAATCAAATTATAATTGGCATTGCCTAAAAAATCTTAAAGATTTGAGGCGTTAAAAGTACCCTTGATGATTTTTGAAAGGTGAGATTAAATATTGATATAAGTTTTTCAGCCATAGTTCTTTCCAAAGATATAACTTTTTATTATTTAATATATCGATTGTGGAATTGATACAATTTTTAGCATCCACTCTATTAGTAACTACTAATTTTGTTAATTGGTTGGTTGTGTAAAACCCAGACCCGGGGTTTGGGTCTAAAAAATCGATCAAACCAGCTTTGAGCACGAACCCCGAGCATAGACCCGGGGTTCGGATCCGAGGTTCAGACCCGAGTCGTGTTGTGTTGTGACGAAATAAACATGTTGATAATTAAAATATTTGTTATTGTAATACACTGATAGAGGGCGAGGCGGAGGTCTTGGGGGGTCAGGAATATTTTTATCAACACAAAATATTAATATGATCGGTATCAAATAAAATATAATTTAAATATCTTTAGATTAAAATTATTCATATTTTGTCATGATGGGTATGACTTAGTCTGGGGGGTGGATGGAGAGGGGGGTGTAAAAAATAATATTTTTTGATATTGGTATCAAATTAAAGGTAATTAAAATATTTTTTTATTAGTCCCTCTTTTAGGTAATTATTTTATTTAGTCGTTAATAGTTAATAACTATTAAAATATTTTAAAAATATTAAATGTACTTGTCCAAGATACATATATAAAATTAGAAGAAAAAAATAAATATACGTGTTTAAAAAATAGCGATGAAATTAAACAAATCCTGCAAGAAAGTTCGTACGTAATTCTGAACTATGATGGGGCATAACGATACTATTAAATCTAGATATACTGACATATTTAAAGAAGAGTTCATGACTGGTCTGTTGTTTTGAATCCTCTTTTTTTAATACCGGAAATTATTTTAAAACTCAAAAAACAGAAGATTTATTATATTATTTATAAATTTTTAAAAAAAGAAGAAAAAAAATTTCTAATATATTATATTTTTTTTTCTTTAGTAATATGATTTAAAGAAAAAATTTAAGTTATTTACTAGATTAGATTGAAAATATATTTTATTTTCAAACAAAATATTTTTATATGGGATGGGATGTTTTTTTAATTGATTCAATCGTCATCCTCATGAGTTTTAAGGTTGAGTCAATTTTTCATATATTATTTTTTTCAAATTTTAAATATAAAAAAAATAAACAAAAATGCATACATGTGTAATATAAATTATATTTAATCTTATGTATGGTAATCTTATTTATTAAATATAAAAATAAAAAAAATTTTAATTTTGTATAGTAAATAACTAAAAAATAATAATTAATAAACAACTTCAAAAATATTAAAAAATCGCATCATGAGACTTGGCCATTTCAACACAAATTATAAATTTACATTTCTTTTTATTATTTACTAGCTAATAACCCGTCAAGAATGACGGGTTCAAGGGGTAATTAGTTAGTTTGTATATATG